CAGGGACTTGTGATGGACTTACAGGGACTTGTGATGGACTTACAGGGACTAGCAGGGACTTGTGGACTTGAACTTAAATACAAAACTGACAATTTATTGGGTCTTGAACATCTTTGAACATTCACATAAGTTTTTTTGCAAAAAGTAATTGTAAATCAATTTTAGTTACAGAAGAAAGTGTGGTGAAAATTAAGCCGTTTTCCACTTTTTTATGAGGATGGATAACATTGGTAGGGGCTGACGAATCTCAACCTGCAAGACTGGCAGAGGACTTTGCAAAAATAAAACAACGTGGTAAACCGACTCTCAGTCACTTCAATCTTTTGTTTCCGAATGCAGCAGTAATTCAGGAATTTTTTCACACTGTTTGGAACATGAAACAAAGTTTCTCCTCACCCATAGCCAAAATATGTAGGAAACTCAGCGACCAGCTTGTGAGCCAGTTCATTTTTGCCAGAGCCTGGGGGTCCGACCAGTACCAGCATGGGGTAAGGTGTCTCCATGCTGGGTAAAGTACTGTCGACAAAAATATCAAAAACAAATAGTAAACAAAAAGCGTCGTGAGACCAGCAACCAGTCTATTTTTCTCACTGGCCAGCTGGTGACTTAAATTGTGCGCAAACAATTCCGGAAATGGTCACGTCGCAAAGCAATCAGGGTACTTCTTGTCAATAGTGTCGATTCGACTTAGTGTCTGCAATTAACATAAATAGCTTGTGACAAAAATTAGTTTAGAAGATACAGTAGAAGAAAAATAAGAAGTTAAGAACAGAAACTGTTGACAAAGAGGCTGACATGAATACAAATTATCATCCCATTACCCCATAGTTTTACACAAACTTCTTTACATCAGTAAAAATTACAATACAGGTTTCTGTATGAAATGATAACTCTTTTGATTGAAAGACCTTCACTTTTTCAGCAAACACAGCACTTCCACGGAAGAGAGAAATGTACCTGTCTTGAGGAAGAACATCCTTTCCTCAGTAAAACCAATCAATTTTAAAGATCACATGAGAGTGTTGTTTATGTGACTGTTTACCTATCATAGATTCTGGCCGATCTCAAGCTAGCATACACCATGCAGCGTCTATGGTCCTCTGCTGCCACCACATCCATAGGCGCATTAAACATATTATTGGCAGATACCTACATTGAATAATATGTAATTCACACAGATTAACACGTCAAGTTGGTTCATTGCTATATGCTATGGACTAACGGAAATTATGAATGACACCAAAAACTGATGCCTAGTGGTACTTGTGTGCACGCCTTACATGGACAATCCACAATTCTGCATGTTTAAGGCACGCTTTTGAACAAAGTTGTGTTTCCGTCTTCCTTCACATTTGAAAGTCTCACCTTCTCCTCTGCCTCCACCCTGTGTCTGTCCAACTCTGTCAGCTGTGGGAGGCAGTAGAGCAAGGACAGACGATAATCAGAGACTCCCTGGATGGGATTACGTAGGAGGTTGAGGTTCCGCAGTAGCGAGATCTCCTGAACCGGCTTGATGTTGTCAATGCTCTCCACCTGATCAGAATAATACCCCAACAAAGATAAACTACCGTACACTGCTGTCAAAACAAAAATCACTAGATTATCTGGAGAGGTGAGTAACAGAGGAACGTTGGGCAACTGTGGGTGAACCATCCATTGACCTTTCACACCATTATGAATTTGATTTTGAAAGCAACGAGGTCATTCTGAGGAGTTCAGAAGCTTCGGAGTTGGAGAAGAAAACAAGTCTTGTTACTATCTTTAATTAAAGGCAGTTTTGTAGCCAAGTCTACATCACATGTCCCTACAAAGTCACAAACTACCAATTTTTTCAGCGGAATGATCAATTGCAAACAGTGCAATAAAAATACCAAGAACCAAAAAAAAAGAAAGTTTGTTACATGATTATTTTCCAGATCAATGGTTTCCAGCAGTGTGTTGGTTTCCAACCCCCTCAGGCTACCAATGAAATTCCCCGATAGATCCAATTGCTGTAGATGATGGAGCGATTCAACGTTCTCAATCTCTTTCAAGCGGTTTCCTCTCTGTGGAAGAACAATCAGAACAAAGTGCATGTATCTCTGTTACCTCCAGCACACAGCCGTTCATGATGTGGGTGCAAAGCTCTATCACTGGGTGTTCTTTCAGTGCTCTTCTCCATAATTTGGCCATTTGTAGCTTTACCCAAGCACTTCATCATCCTCTGTGACAAACTTTCCCATTTTTTCTGAGAATCCACATTTAACAATTTTCAAAAAAAGTCAAATGGCATTGGGAGTTTTTCAATTCACTTCTATTCCACCCATGTCCTTTTTCAAATGGGGAGCAGTCCTATCAAATATTCACACAGTGTTCTTTTTACCAGCATAAATAAAAACAAGAGTTTTGTGAAATTTTATCTTTAAAACTAACAAGAATTTACATGCTGAATTCATAAAACGCATTCCTCTTGTAGGCATTCTAATGACTTGTAGAATGTGCCCACAGTGGGGCTATACTTACGAGATTCAGATATTTAAGTGGAAGTCCTTGTAAATTCTCAATCTTCTCAATGCGATTGTGAGCAACACTAAGACAAGACAGAGACTTGCATTCCTGGAGTCCATCCAGACTACTGATCTTATTGTCTGAATAGTGCACTTGTTAAGGCTTTGTAATCAAGAGACTTACAGCAATATTATTGAATTCGGTGTAATGCACCTCATGTTTTACATGGTAAAGTACTTGAGATCAATGTCTGTCATAAGGTTTGACAAGCGATCAAATTTTGGTCAACCATGAAAGGATACTGTCTACGATCAGCTTGGTGATTGTGCTCAGCTCAGTGAAGTCGTTCAAAGTCTCAATGTTGTTAAAGGACAGATCCACTTCCTGAAAGAAAAATATCAATTGTACATATTTATTAACTTTATGCTCTAGTTTTTCTAATATCCCCAATCAGAGCGTAAAATATTTCAGGAAACCAAAAAATATACTGAAATAAAATTTTCAAAGGAAAAACTAAACACTTACAAATTAATTTGATTTTGAAATGAAGTGACTTTGCCAAAAACATTGTCTAACATCTCAAAAGGTCCACTAAACGTTTTGTATTAAAAAAAACAAAGCAACTCTGAACAACGGTAGTAAAAATGACACTTAATTAGTGAGCAAACAACTGATATATACATGTAGTTACAAAATGTAAAGTTGTCTGCGATAAAAATGTGTGACTAGAGAAGATGCATTACAACAAAGGTCAGGACGTGAAATAACAAACCTTGAGATTTAGAGGTGATTTGAACGAGTTCAAATTACAAATCTCATTATTGGAGGCATCCAACTCAACAAGATATGGCATATAACTCAAGACACTCAAATCTGCAGACCAAAAAACACCAGTATAATTAACTTTTAGAGGGAAGTAAACAAATTCACTTGCCTAAGAATGATAAATTTGAAATTTCAGTATTTGGCTCACTTATTCTGACTGTGTCATCCAAAGAAACCTTCTTAATAAAAATTGAAACAAGAGTTGGAATGAAAACTACCATTGTATTTAGAGTACAAATAAACAAGACAATAATAGATGTTTAGAAACTTATTCAATGACGAAAATAACAATAATGTTCATTTTCTTAATAGGTATTCTCAGTCCTGAAATGCGACTTTTGTTATATCAATTTAGAAAAACTACATAAGAGACAGTTTACCCGAAATCTTGTTGTACGGGATTTCCAACTTCTGCAGATGGACGTAGTCTTGGAGTGCAGTAATGTCCTGCAAACTGTATCCCTTTAAGATTCAATAAGAAGCAATATTTGAATAACTCCCTTGCATTGCTATTACATCAGCTGTTCACACAGGCTTTTGGTCTGTCAGTCACAATTAAAGCAGAATGGGTGTTGAAAAAGTTATTCAATTTGGGTCTTCTTTGGGAACTTGGTGGGGAACTTTTGCCGTGCAACTCCAAGCATGAACCAGTGGATACACTCTGTGTTGAAAAGGTGAGAGAGCTGAGATTAAATGCAGAGCATAAAAGACTTCGTTTGTCAAATGACTGACTTGAACAAATATTTGCAGTTGAAGAAGTACACTGATTTCAGAGAAGAGAGCGACAAAATCAGATGTTTACACTCTGATTGCCATTTATCCAGTTACCGGTAAGGTAAGGTGTAAGAAGACCAAGTCGTTGCCTCCTGCAGATCTTCCAAGGTTGGATAATCCCTTGGCAATGGTTCTGTCATCCAGGACACCATCCGGTGAAAGCTGAGAGGGCAGAGAAAGTAAGCAAGAAAGATTCATTCCTGGGTGGGTTCTGGACCAAGAAGTAATTTTATTCCTACACACGTACATGCTACAGTTTGGGCAATGCTATACTTTTGGCATATACTTGGAACAATCCCAACCATAGGGCTACAGTTGGGTTGGCCTAGTTATCTATAAAACAGTGGGCCATAGTGTATGCCAACTGCTGTGCTGTACCGTCGACGGCACGTTAGTGGAATTTAGTGATTAATAATTCATATCAATACCTTGGGTGAAGTGGCAACTAGCACAGTTTTGATCAACTGTGTTGGGTACAAGTGGCATTATGAGTTGGCCTATGTTCTAAGGAAGGTTACATCCCCATTTGACATGCACCTGTCTAAAACACTCAGTGTTTAGTCAGAAAAAAATAAGGAAATAGCACACTGAAGCGGCATTTCTTTATTTTAGTAGCCCCCGTCAAAAGGAAAACTTTTCTTCCAATTACTTTGAGAACCATATCTTATTGTCAGTAGATCGGTAAAAATTAAATGCAAAAAATGACACACAGAAAAGTCAGGCACATTCTACTGGCATTACATTTACTTATCATGTTAAAGAGCACCTCTGAGGAGAACGTATTTTCTCTGATTTTATCTGTCTGGTAGGCCTAAGTCTAAACAAATTCAAGCTACATTTTGTGGGGTATACTTATCTGTTTCGTACTGTTTCTTCTTCCTCTTTTCTTTAAAACGTAGTCTAGGTTTTAGGTCAACTAAAAGTAACTTTACGAAAGAAGTCCAACACGTTCCGCTTGCACACCCCCGCTGCGTTCCGTGTAATTTGAACCATGGTTAATGTTAGGCCTAAGGCCAGTATAAAATGGCAGAATTACCTCTTCATCTTCTGATATTCCTGACTCCTCTCCACGTCCATCGATTTCAAATCGACGATCACCATTTGGAAGATTACCATTTGGAGAAACTGTTGATTCAATAAAATAAGGAGAACCCACTTCAAGTTCGTCGTTTACAGGGCCCGAATCTGGGCGAAAACAGTCGACACGAGAGTCCTCCATGTTTACGTTTCCAAGGAATCAAATTGAAATAGCGCCCTCTAGCGGCGCTCCGGTTTTGCTGAGTATCATCTCCAGACGTCACTATTTACGATGAATGTGGATTACACATTTTAGCTGCTTCCCTGCAATAGATGCCAGACTACTGGCATAGGACGTGCATTTTACATGTCCTTGGTGTGCGGCTAATCAACCTTGTCCCTCCGAAGTTAAAGTCATGCAAAGTAACAAGTCCAGCAATATTTAGGGCGTTGGATATCTTACCTCTGAGCAGAAATGGGAAGCAGTTCGAGCACACGGAGTATTGCTGTAGAGCGGGATGCCGAGACTGGCGTCGTTAAGGTACTGTGAGCAGTACTGGTGACTGGCCCGTGTGAGACTCCACGGACCCATGACGGACATGACAGAGACAGGCGGGGGGGGGAGGGTGTTGCAGGTCGTAAGTGGTAAGGCGAGCATGAAACCAGAAGTCTCGGGGAGCAGGATGGATCTACAGTTACTGTTAACTGACTATGATCAACCCAATTTAAAGTTATAAAAATTAAAATAGCCTAACTTGGCTGCGGCTTAGCCCCACTGGTGTGGCACGGACTCTCACTCCCGATCCATCCTTAGCCACACATCTGTATATGCAATTTGTGTGTCGGCGTAGTGAAAAAGTTCGGCACACCCTCTTATAATTGTAGGCGCAATTTGTTTTGCACACAGAAATGATCCTTAGCCTCTCGGCTTTCTTAGCGCCATATTGAATGATTTCACTCACATCGTTCTGGTATTTTCCAGTCTTTTTGCCTTCACCCATTCAATCTTATGGGCTCGCTCTCACAGTCGCCATCTTTACAATAACGTCGTTGTTCCATGGATGTGTGGCTAAGGATGGAGCGGGAGTGAGCGTCCGTGCTACATAGTGGGGCTATCTGAATGAATGATGCATGGCAAGTTGCATTTTGTTTCTAGGCCTAGTTCAATCATGGTTGTGAAAGATTGTTCCAAACAGAAGTCAAGTCAGCGTTTGCATACAACATCAACTGAGTGCAATTCAAATGAGTGATCGCGCAGATGGACCAATGACACCAACAGTTCCGGTGTTAGCAGAACTTAGAAGGGCTTAGCCTGTAAAGCCAATAATAATAATTGGGGAGAATTTCAAGCACCACATGGACATCATTAGTCATTTTTCCTTGAAGAATATGTTAACCTTCAGAAAGCAATAACATGTTCGAAAAATTACATTAAGCAGGGAAAACACCTGCAGTTTTTCAGAACAGTCTCGTTGGTTTGTACTCAGGGTGTGAGGTGATGCTTGGGTTTGCAACTCTCTTGATATATTTCACCAACATCTGGTTGCATTTTTTTTGGGTAAACACTGGAGTGGTACCAAAACAATAGATTTGCTACCTTCAGCGTTCATAACTGAATGAGTATGTTGCCAGGTGGTTACAGTGGGTGGCTTAAGACTTGGAAGCCCGGATTCAAGACCAGCTGTGAACATACTTATATCAAAGTTTTTTCTATCCTAAAAGTCGCAGTTGGTCTGCAGTGATGTGGATTCTACGCTGATTTTATCATAGGTTTCAGAGGATTTACTTCGTCGTATGCTTGGTGAAGAAAGTGCTGATCAACCAAAGCATGAGCAGCCCCAAGGTATTTGGACTTTTCATTATCCAAGCATTTCGTGGCAATTTGAAATTTCATCTCCTGAATGATAACTTGATGCATTTTGATAACCAAATACTAGATTTGACCTGTAAATATCAGTGTGTTTATAAGCTGTTTGCAAGTTTTCCAATTTGACATTTCTGGTTTTGAACCTGGCTTGGACCTTTGATGGTATTTCTCAACAGAACGTGACCGTAGACGCTATCCAGCAACCGATGATTACAATGTAAGTCATTCAGTTGCTTCTACGTAAGTGACTCTTCTTTTCTATGATGTATATCACTGCTTCTGCAAATTCCCTGGACGCTTAGGAGCAAGGAGTTGCCTAAAGGTGCATGGAAGTGCCTGAAGGTGCACCCAGGTGCCTGAAGGTGCATGCATGTAGGTGCTTGAAGGTGTATGCAGGTGCCCATAGGTGCCTCTGTGACCTTTTCTAATGAGACTTGCAGTGGCACAATTCATCCATTTTTCTTGGTCAAAAGAAATCTGTTCGCCGTCTCAGAATGCGTTGTAACTGTCTCATTATTTTTTACTACAACATTACCAGCAGATCAGTGAATCTTGTTTGTCACAAGTTTAAACTACCTGCTAGTCTATTTATGGAGTATTTTACACTTAGGAAGTTGTTTTGCTTTGCCTGTGCGGTTGGTCATTTGATTCAACTGTTAGTGTGATGCTGATTTTCCTTGCACTGCAGTTGAAACTCTTGAATGAAGAATGGAAGGAGAGACTCTACCGATCTGAAGAACTGTGGCAGGAGAGGCTGACTGAAGCTGAGAGAAAAGTGAATATTTGTTCTATTTTGTGCATTTCAGTCCCCTTTGTTAAGAGCAGACAATGAGAAAACGTTAAGTACAAAATGCCAAAGAATCAGTCAGTTACACGTAAAGTGTAACATTGAACCCCAAACCAACATTTGTTGGAAATGACGCACAGTCCGTGAAACACTGTTGGGCGTTCAGGGCTTCAGATATTTGTGATGTAACATATCAGATTTCTCTTTTTTTTGCCAAGAGATCAATATATTGATTGGACCCGTCATGAATGGACCCAGGTGCTCAAGATTTGTGTTAATTACACCAGCTTTGTAGGATATTGAAACTGGCTGTTGGTATGCGTAATGACAATGTGAAATCTTTTGCATTCTTGGTGTAACCCTGCAAGTTGTCTCTCTTTTCATGTAGGGATGAACGTGCTGATAAAATATGATGCATTCTTTTTGCCCGACTGAGCACGCCCATCCCTTCATGGAAAGTGTGTTGCTAATGTTGAATGAACAAGAAATGCAACTTGTTTTTCTGATGTGACTGCAGAACGCCGCCCTGTTGCAGCTCTCCAGTGAGAAATTTCAGCAAGCTGCGGAAGAAGTTGAAGCCAAATTTATGTGAGTATGACAAGATGGAGCTGACTAAACCTTGAACTGACCTGCAGTCAAAAATAACCAGTGTAAATGCAGTGTTAAGTGGAAGTCAATCAAGGAAGCTGATTGGCTGGATCTTTCTGTTCATCCGGGAAGTATAATGCTTTAATTACCAAGACAGCTTATCATTTCAAAAAGAAATTTGCAAGTTAAACACTGAAGATTTTTTTTTAAAGTTAGATGTGTACCAATATATAACATCTGTATTAACCCTAACAGTCCCAAATCCTCCAATTTCAATACGATTTTAGATACACCCTAGGGGGGTTAGGGTTAAGTACCTCATATTGCAATGTAAGGTACTTAACCACACATTTGATTCACCAATGCATTGGTGAATCAAATGTGTGGGTTTTGGTATGCTGTTTGGTTTGCGTAGCTATTGAAAATGGATAGTCGTTGCCTTTTTTTGCAGAAAGCATCAGTGTGTACCCATATGCCAGAACCTACAGGGCGAGGTTTTAAAATGCTACGCGGCTAACCCCAGGAGAACCCTGAACTGCTCTCAAGAAGTCAACGCGTTCAACAAATGTGTGGATCGCAGTAGAACAGTAAGTACAACCTAGCGCATATTGGCAATTAATGACACGTTCAGCAAGATTTCAGTGCACTCAACAAGAGTACAGGTCCTAGTTGAACTGTTGATGACCAACCCCACATTGCGGTAGAATCTGATGTAAGGAATTCCACTGTCTTATTGACACAAGGAGTAAGTCACGAGAGCAGCAAAATGTGAACCCGGAACGTTTCATTTCAGGGTCACAAAAACTCCCAGTATGGCCAAACTAGCGACACTGCTCAGTAACAAGTGCAGAACTCTCCCAATTCAGAACATATTTTCATGCCTTTCTGGGGGCTGTGCTCTCTTCATTTTTCAGAGTATTCTCACAAAGAAAAGTCTTGAAACAGTTTCGTAACCTGCAGTCAAGATTGGTGAGATCGAAGGTCAGATTTTTTTCATATTCACGTTTGAAGGCAACGGATCAAGGGCTGTGGAAGGCGGTACTTGGAATCTCTTTCATTCAGTAAAATTCTCTTTGTGATGCTTAGGGAAACCTATTGCAGTGGCATATCCAGGTTTGGGATCCTGGAGGCAAAATGGAAAGTGACTGAAAATGACTGTCCACATGTTTTCATTCATAAAGGAATCCTCGTTACGCCCCTCGCAAGAAAGGTGGTAGTATCATTTCTGATATCTATTCTGATATCATTTCTAAAATGCTGGTGCTTTCAGTGGTTTAGAAAATTGCCAACATGTCCCAGCCTCCCCCCTTCAATATGCCATAGCTATCGTTCTGCTAAGCTCAGAAAATGTATGCATTGTACCAACAGGTTACCAACCAGAGTGCTCTGTCAAGTGCATTACGTTTAGTCAAGACCGGTTCCCTGCTCATTTCTGCATAGCACAAAATTTACCAAGCAGTTTTTTTTGGGGGGGGGCATTAGGAAGCTCCATGGAAGTGGTCCTCATCTTTTGATATATAAAGCTCATGGCTCTCTGCGTCCAAGTTTTTTGGGTCAGTTGATGAAGAACATTAACAGAAATATTCAGAATAGGGAGAAAAATCCACACAATTTAGCTTCAAGGAAGAGCAAATGATTAAATGACAAGAGCAAATAAGGACAAAATTGTACACTCTGGAATTTCATTGCTCAGTTCCCTGCCCAGTGAAGGGACAGGTTGTATTGACACCAGTAGAGGGCGCTCTTCAGTTGTCCATGTGATGATGCCCCTGTGCAGGTTGCATTGTGACTTCTGCCGATATGGTGCCATTTGCGCATAATGGGGAGGGGTGAAGGGGGGGCTTAAAAGGGACAAAAAATGCCTTTTTATTTTAAATACGAGAAAAAAAAGCAATTTGGGAAGTATTGAGGCGCCATTCCTTCCCTAAACGAGTAAAAGGTCTCACCCCCTCAAAAGGACCATAAAAAATTACATGAAGAAACAAAGTTCGCCTCCTCCCCAAGAAAGCAATTTTGTCACTGGATCTGTTCGTTAGGGTTTTTCGTTCACACCACCTAAGATATGTGATATTAATACATGTATTTGGTTTGCTATTTTACTGTGAAATTGTGAATTTTTATGAGTTGTTTAAACTGAAAGATGTATCCACAAATTTATTTGCATATCACTGAATGCATAAATTGTGAAACGATGTTAAATGTTGAGCAAATGTTGGCTTGTCAAATGTTTTTAATGGAATTACTTTATTTAAAAGTTAGCTGTGCATAGTTGAGATTCAACTGCATGCTAGTTTTAGTCACCAGACTCCGCAAGGATATTGCTTGAAAAGATTGAGGTTCTCTGTAAATTCTCCTCTTGTCGAAAAAAATGAACAAGTAGCCTCAGTTGTTCCCAATGTTTGGGTTATGAATGTTAAAGGCAGCTTTTGCCTCCATGGGCGTGGTGTGGACCCTGGTTTTGTTCGAGTTGCTGTAAAGGTTCAGCTCGTAGGCATATGGACTTGTCATGAATATTCAACAGTAAACCACTTACGGTATGTGGAATGTTATTAAATTTTGATGTCCCTGACATTTCATCGTATTTATGCTCTTCTGAGACCTTTCACTGTGTTCTACAGAACAACCCATGTTGATTTTGAAAATGTGCATTGCCTTTAGAAGAACTTACAAGAATCGGTGACAATTTCTCACCTGCATGACGGAACAGAAATACGTGTAGTCCTTAGTTGCCACTGAGAATAAATTAAACGAAGTGCCTAAAATTATGGTCATCAGAAGTTTTCAATCCAATACACTTATATCAGAAATTACATACGTGGAACGCAGTCACTGTGTTATTGACATTTTTGCTTTATAAATACTTCATTAGTTTCAAAGATCAATAATTGCAAGAGACAATTTCACCCTCAATCCACAATTTGGAAGCTACTTTGTTGCCTCCCGATTAATTCTTGAGCAATTTTAGTACCCAAGCTTTAACAGCAGCGCGCACTTTAACTTGTGATAAGATCATACAAGATGAATGAATGAAACACGACACACAGCACGCAAGCGAGCAAACACAAATGAACCCTGGAACCTCTTCACCGTTCCCTTGACTGACAGTGAGTAAAGTGAGATTAAAGTTTACCTCCTGTAAATGACGTTAAGTATCATTCATCCCAGGCAAGATGGATTTGACAGGCCGAGGATGTTGTTTCAGTTTCATCCAATATTCTTGAACTTTCAGCCCTTTTTCAGGATGGTACAAGGGCGACCGATGTTTGTATTCTACATGTAAATACTCCGTGTACGTGGGTGCCCTGTTGCGTGCTGCGCATTGCGATGTGTGCCACAGACATCAACTGTCGCCATGATGTATAGTATTTCTCCCGCACAGAGTTTGTGGAAGAAATAATGTAACATTTGAAACCAAAGCTCAATCTGGTTTATAATTCTTGAAATTCCATTTATTGTCCTTTCTGTACACAATATTCGACTTCATGTTATGTCAACAAAAATCAACGTTTTATCTTTGTGGAGACGCAAGAAATTACGGTAGTCGAGGCATACATAATGAGATTCAACTTCGAACGCGGCGCCATTGATGACTAGTCTGTCGAATCCTCACCGTCGCTAGGAGACGGAAAGCTAATTAATATACGATGGGTTTCGCTTTATATCTATCACAGACGCACATGCAGCCAATGTGTTGATTTCCCACGGTTGAAAACGCGTCATTAATCGAGTCATGGAAACCGGCTGACAAAGCTCAATTAAAGAAAACAAGACGCAGTCATATCTCGAAATTACCGAAAAGGTTTCAACCAATTGGAGGTATATCAACATGGGGTACTAAAGATATTTTAAAGAAGGTTCTTGAAATATGATCTGTAAAGTCAGTAAAATCGATAAGTTGTCACGATCTAACTTTTGTCTGTCCTTTTTTTAAATATTGGATCCAAGCTTCACCGGTGGATTTTTTTTAGACGGTACGATCGCTTTGTTGACGTTTGAGAACAGCTCAACCTCTGAATTTATAAATAAAGTAGTTCAGTCGAGGCCCTGAAGGTACCCAGGATCCATCCTTGGAGAAAATCCAAATTTCGATTGGCCAAATTCCAAGTGTCCTTTTCCATCGGTTCTGACCCCATTTCCATTGGATTGGACAAAAACTTTACATTGCGTCCTATTTTCAGTTTGAGTATTTTTTGTTCTCGCTTCTTTTGTGGTTGAATCCCTCTTTAAATTTATAAAAGAGAACTTGAACCAAATTATCACGCACTTAATTCCATGAGTATTTTTTTCAGACAAGGCAACACGCAAGTCATGCCAAAAGTCAGTATGAAGGAAACTTCACCACAGTTTACAATTTAAACCTTGACTGCATTGGAGTGCGTTATCGCCCATTTTGGCAGATTTGCACCTGAGAATGCATGGACAAAAATCTAGAAAACACCCTGAGATGCTCGTTCTCCACGTAGGATCGGAGCCGGCATGTGGTTTGGTATTCACGAACAATCCGGAGTAGTCATGAATTAGTAAAAGTCGCAGTCCACTTTGTGAAGGGCTGTCGGGTACATCGCCATGACAACCGGTCTAGCAACAGCTTTCGGACTCACACACACCCACTTCATTAGAGAAACATTTTGCAATTTATCAAGGTGAATCTACTTCGGGTAGGTAAATACCGGACGTGGATCCCTCAAACGGTAATATTCTCCAAATCCGCGGTGTCATTGCTCGGGCAACCAGCTAGCGTCCCATCTGAAAACGCCCCTCGCACACTTCGCAGAAAACAAGGCCTGCCCCCAGAACACAACCAATCTTCACTGATATGGTGGCACTGCTCCAGTTACGGCGCTTAAAATGTAAATGATTACAGCAGGAAATTAGACGGACACGCTCTCCACCAGCAGTCTGTGCCGTGTTTGGTGCTTGTTTCATCATACGATAGCAGGCAGCCCAATTCCAAACGCGCGTGTGCGACGCATTGTGTGGGCTTCTCATTACATTCAGCGGGATGGATCGAGCGTGATCGTGTGATATTCATCTCCTAGTGCGGTCTCTGCAGTCAAAGCGCTGACTTTCTACGAAGGTAAGTCAGTAATATTTAACGATTTCGTGCCGTGATTATAAGGCCTACTGCAACTACGACTTTTACCAGTACGTTTATATACATCTATTTATATGTGGCAGATTCTAGGACCAATAATTGTTCTCAAAAATGGTGTTCAAATAATTGTGAAAAGAATCAGATTAGGGTGTAATTATTGTGTAACTCATGGCTGACAGCAAAACTTTGATTGCCGCGTTTTTTTTCTGGAGATCTTACCTTCTCTCAACATCAATGTAATTTACAAAACATGTAATTTTGTGTATTAAATAAAATAATGCATTTGTATTTTGCATTCAAAACACACAACCATCTCCCGTGAAAAGAATGTGATTTAATTTCATGTAAAGAGCTGTGACTACGTTCCAGGACAACAAAGTACTATACGTTCGCTAAACAGACTTGTCTCTGTAAATGGTTGTTTTCGACCGTTCAACTTTCATGGTCCGCCAACATAGACTGTATGAAAAAGGGGTCTAAATATTTCATTAACCTGCAGGCTATTGTGTAATGTTTAATCAACTTATCTATCAGCCTTGCTATTAAAATGAAAGGTTCCCTTTGTCAATCTTTCATATTGTTTGTATCAAGACTGCGAGACCCTGCGGTTTCAGAGCCCATGCAAATCGCAGGTTGTTAATGTGATCGTGACCCGTGATATCAGATTATGCGTGTTGCACCTGTCACCCGTAAGTACATCAATTTCATTTGCAATCTCGTGAAACCGTACGGAGCAGGTAGAAACAGGGCATTCAACCACTAGACGTCCCTTCGTTTCTACACGTCTTGATCCAATGTGCTAAATGTCATCTCCTTGTATTATTTGCTTTTCACTGATGCGGTTCATGACTAAATCCTTTAGCTATTAATGGACGAACAATGAAATTACCGTTTGACAATTTCTTTTGGATAAAAAAGGTTCTGCAGCTTCCAACTTAGATATCTAACGAGAAAAATCTATGTTGTTAAGGTGTGATTTATTATTACATTAAATTTGTATTAATGGAGAAGAAATATTCGAAGCATGATTTGTAACAGTGTTTGTCCGCAAATACGAATTTTGCCTCAAAATCATGTACTTCTAGTTTTGACCAATCAGGGCTCTTTAACCAAGATATATTTATGACTCATAGACTTGAGGATGGATCGTACAATCTGTTTCAAATTGTATTAGTTTAAAACCGTCTCGTACTCTCTCTCATTTTATTAAAAGCTCGGGGGATTTTCATCCAATTTCTTTAAATCAGGCCTTACTTCCATCTAAACGAAGAAGTGATGAATCGCATCCGCTATCCCGGAATTAATAACGTTTCCTGCAGTAGAAAACACGCAGTATCGGGTCTCAAAGAGAGGGTCACATGATAATGCCATTACTGACAATTAAGGTGAACTAATTAAATGATTACTTCAGTTGGGATTGAAACCATGTTCCTGGTAGGATGCAGAAAAGTACAAAATACTCATTGATGGGTAAAGCTTGCGTGGAAAAGGTAAAAATTCTTTCTGATCTTAATTTGTTTTGCCAAAAATGTTTACAGTCACCGCCCACGTAGCATTCTTTGAAGGTGAAAATGTAAAGACAGGGAGAGTTTTTTTTCAAATTTAAATCTGTTTTTACGACTTTTCTGTTCAATTCGCAGGCGGGATTCACTTAAAGAGATCGGAGATACTTACATGTGTCACGTAAACAGTCAATTTGTTTTCTCATTTCAAAGTTTTCAAAATCACTTTGTCGGCATTAATTCAGAAATGTGAAGGTTTAAAACGCAGAACTGTCATTATTAGGGATTCCTCCCCTGTGCTTAAAAAAAATCTGGGCATTAGCGAGATTTATATAAGCTTCATTGGTGCGAGATTCTATGATGGTAAATATTGTTTTTATGTCGGTTGCCATGACGCTCGCAAAAACACCTGCCTATGCCCACATTATCGATCTGCGTAGTGAATACAAACATGGCCCCAGGAGTGAACGTAGGACACAGAGACAACAACAGTACAGTATCTTCAGAAACATATAGGCCTACTGGAATACTATGTCTATGATTATCATATCGAATTCAAAATTGATTTCGGAAAACAACTGTTTCTGATCAGTCTGTTAGTGCTAGGTAGCCTAACCTTTTTTTCCAGAGCTGTTGGTCATAAATTCCAGTTCCCAAGACGGACGTAAACTTGTGCATTTTGAATTGAAGGTTGAAATTTAAAAGTATTTATAATTCTTATTTTTAAACGGTGTAGTTTAGTGAACAAATGTTATGTACAAAATGGTGTTGCTCAATTCGTGTTTTCGCTTAGAAAGTACGAAAATTAATGTTTGGGATCGTTGTGCGCGGATGGCCAGAAACTGAAATATTTCAATATTTCGATAAGTTGGGAAAATATTTGTGCACATAGCTAACGATGTCGTCGGTTGGTTTACAAAACAGTGCTCCCGTAGACCCGGGAAGGATTTTTACACTTCAGAAAATATGCAGATTTCACGGAGTGTGCTCACGGCGCATGGCGCATGGTTAACGCGCCACACAATTTGTCAAGAGAACGCTGTTTTCCCAACCGCAACCAATACACGATCTCACGCTTGCTAGCTCCCTATTGACCCTAACCATCTCTGTATATGCAAGCCAGTGTACAAGACTTCACGTCGACAGAATTGTTCGACAACTTCGCAACCAGGACATTTTCTCCCTTTAAAGTATTAGCCTAACTCCGCCATACAGTACTTGATAATAATTTACTGAGGGCATATCAGTCGATGGAAAAGGTCGCTCTGTTGTCTCTCAGACCGTTATTAATTAATACAAACATCCTGGCAATGCAATCCTTGTCAAACCTAGAAAGCATGACGTCATTGTATTGTTCCAGCTGCCGAACCTTTTTATAGCGGTGAAAGTAAGCAATGAATGATTGACTGGATGCATCCAAACGGTTGATGTTAACCAATACGAAATCTTGATTTCAAGAAGTATTTTCTTTAAATTCTACACAAACAGCTTATTTCGAATATAATTTGCCCTTAATTTTATGATAAAATATCTGCATTTTTACAATCTTTCGGAAGGAAATCTGTTGTTTGTCTAATGAAACCGTTTACTATTCAAAGGATTTGAACATATGTTGAGTTTCTGCACCTGTAATTTTTTACATCATGTGCCATGGCGCGTGTAAAGAAAATCACATTTAGATATGTATAAAAAATTGATAATTCCTTCCTAGTGGATTTCGAGTTGTGGGAATACTCAAAGCAGGTGTCGTATCCCTGACAGGCCCGCAATATCTATGTACCATTGCTATTACGTGAAAAGCTCCTAATCTAACGACGCCTAATGACCACTCACGGGATTTTAGCTGAAAGTGTAAAGTACACAGATGGCGTTAAAGGAGACTCAGACTCAATATGCAAAACTCACTAGTAGTGAATTGGAAGTAATGTAGGTTAATTTGCCAGAAAAAGAATGAAATGCGACAAGATTAAATTGGTAAAGAAACATAAGTCAAGGAATTCAGACAGTCAAATTTCACAAATCAAATTTGGAGACAATTTTTAAGCATGGTGTAGCAGTCATGTCACACTAATATTTAGATACCAAAACTAAGCGTTTCATAACAGGCTGGCAAATTTCCAGAATCGAAAACTGCACTACATGTACAAGGGTGAATGGGGCGGGGGGCAACAGGGCTATGTCCTACCCAAAAACCGATGACGTTATTTATTTTTTATCGATATTGTTTCATATGGACAGAGCATTTTTGTTCTGAGCAGCTGCTTAGTTGTGACCAGTGGCGTAGCCACGGAGCTGGGGGGGGGGAACCTGGGGGCATGTGTCCCCCACAATTTCCGGTGCCCCCAGGTGCCCCCTTCACTGGAAAAATAAACAAAACAAAACGGATGAATGGATACTGAATAGGGCTAACTATAAATTGCCCCCAAAACCACACCACTGAAGCTGGTGCCCTTCCCCAATTAGATGCTGGTGCCCCCTTTATACCAGTATTGGTAAACTCCTAGCTACGCCACATGGTTGTGACCTGTGCAATTGGTAAATGCAAGGGGACGCTGCTTACTAGTTTTGGTCCTTCCCAAAAAAACAAAAGGGTCTGGATCCGCCTTTGTAAATGTATATATTATTAAACCTGATGATTTTTAAGTTAGTGAATTTAGCTGTCATATTTGACAGTGGTTTTAAAACTAACCTCTTGCAATAATTTCATTTCCCCCTTTCAGTTGGACACGCAAAGCCAATCATGTGCCAAGAGTTCCCTGGCTCCCCGCCAGCCATCATCAATAAAGACGCAGACAGCACTGGTGACCTGCAGTCTATTTCTCCAGAGTCGAGCTTGGCGTACCGGCGCCGCGTGCTGCTTCTTGGCGGGACGGGGAGCGGTAAGACCAGCCTGGCAAAGTCGCTGGCCAGCGGTAGCTCACAAACCTCCGACGGAACCACGGAATCGTTGGATGTTCATGTGTGGAGCCCATTTCATGGAACTACTTACGGTTAGTTAATCGTCGATATTTTGAAACACCAAAGACGGATTTGCATAAAATAACTTACAAAGTTACCAACACTGTTATTAAAATATGTAATACATGTATATTAATTTTTCAGTTGAAACCTGATAAAAAAAAGCCAAATATAAGGAGCAAGGACATTTATTATGAATTATAAAGTCTGGCAGCAATCGTAGATAATATGCACAGCAGGCTAAGATTTAAGCATGGGGTTATCTGTCTGTCGGAGAGATCAATATTCACTGTACGAATTTGAGTATCTCGAACACTGAGACGCAGGGGATGGCCTGAAAAAAAGTGATTGATGAAGTTGCAGCCTGACTTTCTGTTACAACCAGGCTGTAGGCAGAAGAAACAGGAGATTGTTTTTGCTAGTTATCGGATATCTTCTGACATTCTCCCCGGGGTGCCAGGATGCCACGGTTGCTAGGCCTGCCATGCACTTCAAATTTAGTTAATGTGCATCCAAGGTCTCTGTTGCTTCGGTGGAGAGGTATTGCATGGCCAGATGCAATATTCATTCAAAGACGAAACGGGGAAGCATCAGATGGAAATGTTTTAACAGGGAAAGCTTACCCACGCGTTACAACCGTTCATCCATTTGAATAAACCTGGGTTTTAAAACAAAATGCTGTACATTTCGAAGTTACCAGCAGAATATCATAATAAGTGCAAGACTTGACAATACAGCTTCAGCATAATGTAGGGCCATGGGTACAAAAGATTAAGTTAAAAAGGAGTTCACTCTATTGCGTAGTGTGGTTAAAGGAAAGGGTTAGTAGAGGTGTCCAGGGTTCGAACCCTAGAAGATAAATCCCGTTGTTTTTTTCCTCTACCCAGTCTTTTTTTCCGTTGGAAAAGATCCATTTTGAAAGGTGGTTTAAATCACTGCCCAAATTTGTAACCTTGTAGCTTATTTTATTCAAGGGAAAAACGCTCACTTCGACACGTTGTCGACTTGAACCTCACATTCAAGTGTGGCACCCATATCGCATTATGCGGTAATATATTACCAGTAAGCTTCGAACCGTGACATTTTGATTTAAAAGACTCGGTTTAATAACAGCAGTGGGTAGCCCGATCGGGTGACGTACCTCACTCAGAACTAGATGCTTCAAGTTACTGATTTTGTTTATCTTGAGATGTGGGGCCGAGGTGGTTGTCTGTTCCGGTCTTTACTTCAAACTCCAATTTTTAATATACCTCCAATAAAAACAAAAACACATGTCCTGCACAACACACGTTTGTTACACATGGTAATCAATTTCTTTTTTTTTTTGAAGAACATGTGTTAACAATAAAGGGGCTCCGATTCATTACTCATTCAAAATTCGCCGGAAACTCCCAGGAGTACACATTTGAACAACTGTGAGTCAATTTTACGGAAGCGATCGCGTGTTCGATTTAATCAAGAGCTACACACCCGCCCCATCCCATCTTCAGCTCGCGCTCAACCACAGTGCCTGACGCTTAGCTGGCTGGGCTCAGCCAAAATGCGCAATTCATTAAAAGCAGGAGGGTCCAGATTTGGTATTGATTTGCCTGGATTCAATGACATTATGTGGGAGAAAAAAATCTGTCTTGCCTCCCCAGAGAATTTGCTGGAAAACGAACCGACGGGATATGAACGATCAATGGTGTTGGACGTTTGGGATTTGGCAGGACGGAAGGTAAGACGGGTGCAAAAGCAATTTCAAAAAAGCTTCGGATATTTTCGGGGGTTAAACGACGCATGGATTTAATGTTTGGGAAAAGGAAGACAGCTGCCAAGTGCCTGTGTTTTCTTGCTTTCTTCTCAGTTCTGAAAATTAACATACATTTAAATTAATCATTAATCAGTTGGATAAATATCAATTGAAAAACTGGAACTCCTGATGAAAAGAAAAATTGTCACATGTACATCGAGAAAAGAAAACACATTTCTTTCATTCATGTGCCAATCAACTCGGGTATTCATTTATTCTGAAGTGACTGAAAAAATATTGCCAAAATATGTAAAATTGACAGGGCAGCGAATAAACAACATTTAAGTTTTGATGTGCGTCCCTGTAGGTTGCCACTTCCATTCTGTCCTTTTTATTGAAATCTCAATTTTATCTTAACTTTACTTCAGGTTTGGCAGAAGTTTCATCACTTGTTCTTAACACCTGCTACGCTTCCAGTCATAGTCTTCAATTTGGCCGACCAAGAAAGCTGCGAGGAAGTGGCCAAAATTGTTGACCTTATATGGGCAAAGGTAACAACTAACTGTACATTTCACTAAGAAGTGACACTTTATGGAGGGCTTGAGGCCTTCAGTCAACTCGACCCAAACAAACTCAGCCGCACCCCAACCCTAACCACTCTAAACAGGGAACAACCATGCAATCCCACAAAACAGTAGGCCTAAGACATCTGTCCTTGTCGTTTTGCATACATATTTCTTTAGATTTTGCACAAGGTTACATGTACACTCCGTTTTGTTCCTCTGTGTTTAATGCAGGTTCCTTCGAGCAGGATAGTTATTATTGGTACACACGTCGATAAACTCAGCCAAGAAGAGAGGAACGCGGATAAATGTCAAGACGTACTTGGCATCTTGAGAAACAGACATGCGCACTGCATACAAAAAATACAGCAAGAAGTGCACAACCTACGGTGTGTATTGTTATACCTGATGATGGCAAAAGCACATGATAATGGGCATAACGATGTTGTTTTAATGTCACAGAAATGATTATGTCATCCCATCATTGAAACCCTCTTCACGAGAATGTGATAGATCCCGTTAGAAGTTTTGTGGTGAAAAAGAACTTCGTACGTGGCAATTACTCAAATGAAGTTCGAGCACGAACCGAAGTTAATCTTAGTTCGACTGACTTCAAAAGGAACACACAATGGTTGAGCAAATGAAGGTTGAACTGTTGAGGTGAAAATGATGGCGAGAAAGGCAACCAAAATAGATGTGACTGATAGCAGGATTTCTGAACCACGGTTCGACAAAGGGCATTTAAGCGGGTGAAACGTCTTGGTGCATTGCGGTGCACACGCTTTTTCAAGGGGGCGCTGACAGCAAATGAACCGCAACTTGTATGTCTGGCTCATTTCAAACTTTCGAACAGGGAGGGAGGCTCTGGGAATGGTGGGGGCGTTCCCTTTCCTTGTATAATTACATCTATTTGGTATGCACCAACAGAATGAGCATGTTGGTCTCGCCATACTTCGTTCGTCTGCGACTCAGGCTTCGTCTCTGACATCGAAACCAAATGGCTGTAACGTTCGAATTTTATAAAAACCTTTCAACAATATGGTTTGTTGTTCTTGTTGGAGGTGTATGACTTTCTGTTTAATTGAGCAAACAACTTCCAATCCAGGGGTTAACAATGACCAGGCGAAGCCAGAGACTGAGACAAAGTCGAGTGTACATAGGGCCCTTTCGAGAATGCAGGGAGGCGTGCCGTTTCATTTGACCAAAATATTTTTCTACCCGCCGTATGCAGGAACCTTTCTGAGACGGCCAGAACGCCGAAGTGTAACCAACGAATGAGACATCTGGAAGAACTACTCCAGAGATTCCCAAGCCCCCCAACATCCATAATCCGATGTAGTAGCAAAACTGCCAAGGTACACATCAAGCCTTTCAAGTTATCAAGTATATCGCGAAACTACGGTCCGCTTAGGACCCCCTGTTTAATGATGTACAAATCAGACTAGATATTCCCCCATAGCCATATTTGTCAGTTCAGAGATTTTTTTGTTTCGGCATGACATCATTGTATTTCGCCTCGGTGACGAAATTCCAAAAGAGAGGTGAATTCCAGAATTCTGCGTGCTTCCCACGCATACAGTTTTGAGGTTGCAACGAAATTTCTTGCCAAACTGTGCTCGGGGTGTATATTTTTTCATGCAGGAAAGAAATCTAAGACATATCGTTCTGATAATGTCAAAGTCGATTGATATCTAACGATTTTACTTCAAGGGGCTTGATGACGTAAGGCGCGATATTCTCCAAGCTGTCCTTGATACGAGCCGGCAGTATTCAGTGGAACAAAGTATGCCTATCCGACCAGTGACCGCCGATGTTTATGACGATATCATTAATTTGAGGAAGGAGTCCAATGTTGTAGTCTCTGCTCGAGATGTCCATGAACTTTTCGCCAAACATGAAGTCGGTCTGAGCAAAGAGGTGGAGGCAGACGAGGTGGCATTTTTGGAAACCTCGGTAAGATTTACTTTAGCTTGAATTTAGTATGATCAATGGGCTCCAAAAATTCCATTGTAAAATGGGGAGATTCTTGACTTTTTTGGAGTGTTTGCTTTGCATTTGGTGAACAAACGCAATGTCTGTCATTAAAATTGCGATTATTTGTTAATTTAAACATTTGCTGCAGTTTTACAGCTTGGATTCCCCTCGGAAAATAAAGTAGACACAATTTGAACGTTGTTAGAGGTCCCATAATTTATGTCCAACAAGTTTACAATGAGTCTTCACGGTTGTGGAAAACGGGGGTCTAAACGATCATATCAGCCTACAAATCTACTTTATTTGTAGACGAAATGTTCCAGCATGTGCTTATAATTCTTGCCCTGAACAGGTACAGTTTTATAGCCATTGCTTTAATATAGTGAGCGTTGCAGCTTTAATGGAATTCAAACAATCAGCTCATTCACTGATTCATATTTTGTTCCAATTTTCAGGGTGTCACGCAATGCATTAGCGGCCTCAGTGGCATTGATGAGGATAATCTCGTCTGCATCAACCCGCCGGCTTTGGCCAAAGCCTTGTGCCTCGTTCACATGAGCGACACCAAAAAGGCCTTCCGATTTGAAGCCAAGCGTTTCTGGCCCAAGTCAGAGAGCGGGAACAGCAAGAAGCCCAACCCGGCAGTGCTCGTTCAAGCCCTGGAGGAGGTGGCCACGGAAGGACTGGTTCGCGAGTCTATGTTCCCGTTGCTTTGGCAGGTAACGCTATGATGGTTATAAACAACCGTTTTAATTTTGTCATTCCCAACGTTGCAGGAATGAGTTCATTCATGAGCGGAAATGTTTGAGGTCCGACCTGTCATATTTGTGGTCACTACAGTTCAGTGGCGTAGCTAGGATTTTACTAGAGTGGGTGCACAAAGGGGCACCAGCATCTTATGGGGCGAGGCACCAGATTTCGGTGGTGTGTTTTTTTGGGCAAGATTTGTTAGCCTTGTTCAATATCCATTCATCCGTTTTTTTGGGGGGGGATTTGTGTGCGTGTGGGGGGGGGGACGCACCCCCAGGCCCCCTGTGGCTACGGCACTGTTACAGTTTTATCCTCATATTCAAATTTAGAATCGGATAAAACTGAGTTTTGATGTTTCAGTGACACTGAACGGGAAAGATAATTTTTAGATCTTTAATCACGAAAATTCAGGCATTAAAACATGTCAAGTTTCTCGGAGTTTCAGATGTACCGCTCTAACTTAATTGCCCTAAACTTATTGTGTGTTTGTGGTTTTTTTTAAAGATCCTTAATATTGTTTCGTTTTAAAAATGTATCTCTAACAGGACCTAAACATGAACGAGAAGCAAACCAAGCTAGTTCTAGACCTAATGGCCAGGCTAGGGCTTCTGAATCGAGCTGCCGATGCCCACGGAGATGCTGAGAAGAAATGCCTCGAATTGCCCAACTACCCAGGCTTGCTAGCCAAAATACAACACAGGTTACCACTGCTCGGCCTTACCCCAGACACAGGCCCTGTAAGCTACAGTAAAGTATTGAATCATTAACCAAGCATCCAACATTCCAAAACCACTCCGAAAAAAAATTTACTCAGTTGTCTGAAAAGGTGTATACTAATCTACACATAACAATCCGAAATCGGCAATCTCTATCGCTCATATTATCAAAACTGCAGACATTTTGTCGCTTGTGGATCACTTTGAAGAATGGTAATTAACAGTGATGGGGAGGAGTCGTCAAACTTCATCAAAATTATCTACTTCAGCCCCGTTCTGGAGTGGTTGATAACAAATTATCTTAATGTGATAGCTATTTTGGTACGCTGGTTTTTATTTATTCAATTTTAAATGTGTTACGGTTTTTCAGAATATTGTAGCTGCTCTTTGGTAAAAAAAAATCAACGAAATGGATTCCTTTGCAATGTTTCGTCCTACTTTGTTAAGATGCTCATAGATATTTCATTTCAATTTGGCATGTTTCGTCGTCATCTATCTACAGACACTAAACTGGACCCCCAGACCTTTCAAGGGTGATGCGCAGATTGGTTGGAGGTACACGTTCCCTCTGGGCACACCCCCTGGGTTAGTACCTAGACTTCTCGTCATGTGTCGAACCAACACCCCCGGTGCCATGTACAGACATCACTGGAAGAACGGGGTGCTACTTAAAATGGGACAGGTACGGTGAAATGCGACCTCAAGCTGTGTTTGGCTAGAAGTACCGTTAAACAAATAACTTAGGTATTCTTAAATAGGAACTGAATTTCAAGCTGTCTCTATAAAAGAAACTTGATTTTAACAGGCGTCGGATTTTTTTTTACAAAGAATAATTCATCGGTAGGAAAGTACTCCGTATATTTATTCACGAAATACTACCACCGAAACCCTAAGAAAAGAACATCATGAAATAAAAGCAAAGATGTCAGGACCGTGACTCCGCGAGAAAAGCTTTGATATGTTTTTCTCCCAACACCATGTTGAGTGAGCCTGAAGCCGCATCCGCTTTGAATTTGTCCCCCCCCCCACACCAAAAGCCAGATACGCCATTGGTTGCAAAGGGTACAGTAGTCTAGACCTAACACCTTTTGTCAACAATCGGATGTTTCTAAGCAAAGTCGGTTTTTTCGTCGTCAGGTATCCGTGAACATCAAACAGCCGGACACTGGTCAGTTGGAGAGGGTCGATCTCTACGTACGTGTCACCGTGGACGAGGAAGGAGAGAAGAGAGCCACGGAGGTACTGTGGACAGTGTTGGCGAGATTCCTGGTAGTTGCCGAGAGGTTCTTAGCATCATGGCCCGGTTTGTACTATCAGGTGAGGCTGAGTGTGGCTGTCGACACGCAGTGGTGCAACCCCTGCCACACGTCGCACTTGGATAAACTTTTTCTATTAAATTTATTAAAAAAGAACACGTGTTGTTTATGATCAACATGTTACAAGTATTATTGTATAATTGTAATCTCTGGCATTTGAATCATGATTCTTCAGTTTAGTTTTACTGATTTTTTTGTACTTTTAAAAAGGAAAGTATGAAAGCCAGGGAAGTAAACATCGGATTTGAAAATCTTCAGCTATAATTTTGCTCTGTCTTCTCTTCATAGGTCTCGGTTTTACCAAGCTCGATGTACTACAGGAGTGAGTCAATCATGGAGGAACTAGAGATCGCTCTGTTAGACGTCATTCGAGAATCTGCAGCCAGGAAGAAGACGATGGACGTTTGCATAAAAGACCAAAAATGCAAAGTGAACGTGGATTGTTTATTGCCTCTGCCCGGTGGGTTAGACCTTCTGCGTTGAAGGATAATTTTACGAAACTTAAAATTGATATTCCACTTATGGCAACGTTCTCTTCATGTATTCAAAGATGGTAACCATTCATACCCGATCTAGTGAACTGTTCAGAAGCTAAAATTATCCTTCAAAGATGTGATATGCTTGCAGATTTTCAATAATACAAATTCCTTCCAATCGGTTTACATCGTTAATCGCAGGAGAGGCCGACCTGTCCATCACACGTTGGCTTGACTGGCTTGCTAACCTCGACATCCAGCTCAGCGAATCCACGCCCAGCATCCAGGAACCAGATGACCAGCCGTCATCCCGCAACAGTTCTCAGAGCAGTCTCCAACCTTCGGGCTCACCGCCCAGACCCTCTCCCTCCCCTCCCAGGGGAGATAGCCCCAGGGTGCTTACTTCCCCGCCGGTCAAGACGAACAAGAAGGCGGAGATTAAATGGAAGCTGGATAATGGTTGGAGGAGGGTGTCCATGGAGGACGAACTCAAAGAGATAAAGAAGGTGACTGACGATGAACTCATTCGCTATTTGGACTATAATTGATCTTTTTAGTTGACACATAAAAACATGATGACATTTAATTTTGTAAGATGTACGGACCAGCTGCACGTCTATCTTGAGGCGGCCAGCCTTTTTCGGCAAGTTGGGTTGTTGAGTGGTACGTCTGTACTTACAGTCCCACGCGAGTAAGATCTAGGCCTAGTAAGTTTTTTTCACAAGCCCTTGGAGAGCACTGTACGTAGGCCTAGTTCTTATAAATTACACGTCGATGAAGGTTGAAAGTCTTACTGGAACTGACATTAGGTCTGGTGCTGATATTTGGTCATACTCTTTGTACCCTAAACGACAGGGATAAAGACAAACCTGACTTCAGTTTTCCGCTCCGACTACATTGCTCTCTTGGTTTCACAGCTCAGTCCAATGCAGGCCCAAGTTACCATTCGAAGGAGGGTGCCCGGTAAACTTTAAGAGCATGTTAGCTTTTCATATAGGCTTTTTTGGGAGTTTGTCCTGTATAAAATCTTACACCCTCTGATCCATGCCGCAGGTTGCTGCATCCTTTGTGGCCGCTATTCTAGCCGGCGCCGTAGCCCAGCTGATCACGGAGCAATCCCGAACCGAGGACCGCGGACGCACATTGATGGAGAAGGAAGCCAAACACGCCGCTGCCCTGGCTTCGGCTCGGGCAGCGCAGGCCGCCCAGAGCGGCAACGCAGAGGCTGCGGCTATGGCTGTTGTGGCTGCCGCCCAAGCGATGGACAACGCCATGCTGGTCAGAAAGAAAGGGAGTAAAGGGACGACAATGATCAAGAGTAGAATGTGCACCATCATGTGATTGACATCTCCTCAGTCAGAGACTAAGAAATGGAAGCATTCCACCTTCTGATATCGATGTACTTCATGTATTCTACACTTTGGAAAAGTGGTCTATCTCGTCAGACATCTGCATTAGTCTTAACTAGATTCTGGGCGTTGTTGACAAGTCCATCACAAATCCGGTCGCAATTTCTTTTGAAGTTAGACCAGTCCTATACATAATAAGGTGAACAATGACAAGGGAAGGCTTAAATTGTCGTCACAGCTTGTAACTTGGCTGAAGACTGAATGGCTTATGATGGACTTGTGACGGACAGACTAGAATACAGCACTTTTAAATTCGAACCAACATTCACACAAATCATGCAATGTTTATTAAATAGCCCCACATGCAACGCACAAACAGAAAGGTGTAACTCACCGGCCAATGTTACTGCTGCTCGGCCACCATTGTACATGCATTGCAGGTTACGCCGTGTCTTGGTAATGGTATTGTATTGGTTCTCACTGTTGTGTTGCTTCCATAGCAGCAACACCAAGCTATATCAAAATGACTTCCTTCAAATTCCATATCCACCATGAGGTTGCTTCACTGAATAAAGATAAGATGATGGGAGTGGTTAGAATAAATTTCCCTGAGAGGTTTACTTTTAGTGTCCAGATGAATAGATTTCAAACTGGACCAATGAACATGTTAAAAATTGGAATTCACGAAAAGGTTGGTAGCTCATTATTGTCAAAGGCTTGACGTCATCATCGGTATTTTATCGATACATTGGACATTCAAACGCTGTGAATAATGTACAGATATTTATTTCTTTTCAATACAACCAGTATTTATTCATTTCTATTATCTTATGTATATGTTATGATATATTATATCTCCCCAGAATGGGCTTTAAGCATATCGTCAAGAGATAATGTGATTCATTGATTGTCTGGAACGCAGACGTAAAGACGATTTGTATGGAACAAATTTAAAAAGGTGATCAAAGTCAAAGACCGGGATGCGCAGACATGCACGTCATTCCGAGAAAACATAAATAGATCAATCGGCAAGAATGTGCCTGCATGCTGTGTTAATACTTCGGTAAAATAATGTTGATAAGTCTGTATCTTTACTTGAAATAAGCTTTGAAAAACGCCGTGAATTTCAACCCCAAATTCAACCACTGAACACACATAATGATTTTGTTTGAAGTGCTTCCTAATTTCAGAGATCATGGGGGAATTTTAAGGTAAATAAAGTTAAATATTACCGATGGTGTATGGTTCGATAACACATTTCGCAATCAGTGTAACTTTGATTTGTAAGTCGCTTAATTTTAATGTCGAATGAATTTGGTTTAAATTTAAGCTTATCAGATAAATCATTTGGCACAGTAGCAGCTATTGATGCAATTCGTGTAATAAAACCGGGCAAATCTTGTAACTGCAATTTAAGTAGAGTATTATTTTTGTTTCAAAGTTGCAATGCACACCATTTCCTACAATGATCCTTGAGAAATGCACTTTTTTAAAATTTCAATTATTCTTAGTTTCGTTGATATTTCTGGATATTGTAAATACATTTTGGTATCCCATTTGTTTTTGTGCTTATACGAATTTGCATATTCATATGAGCAAAACTATGATGTCCCGCCAGGGAGAAACCTCAATACTTCACTGCTTTGCGCGCAGAAATTGCCGGAATGTCTTTTGTCACATCTTCCTTGCTTTTGGTGCATGATTCACATGGCAATAAGCCAGCGAGCAGCCCGTTCTCAGAAATTTTCCATGAGTGAATCATGGGTTCATAGTTAATTTCAACAGAAAACTAGCGGTGTCCAGGAAACTCAAATGGTATCCGATTGTTTTATACATTTGCAGTTTGCATAATGAGTGTATATGAGAAACCTGAAGTCTAGACTAATTAAAACACGGCGCGTGTATAGCCAGCGCTTTGAACAACATACTCGTCCTGTTTAGTTCAAATCATAAAATTATGTAAGCCAGTAAGATAATAGTCGTCATGGGAATTATTTGTTTGCAACACAAAACGCGCTTTTATCATCTTTTTAACCATCTGCCTGCAGCTTTCCATCCAACCTAGTTTCATCGTCCCGATAAATTTTGTAATCCATATGCCTAAGCCTTCTCAATTTCGCCTCTATCAGTGGAAGTCCAGTTTTTTCTTCTCAGAAATTTTTCAACCTGCCGTATTATGTCACTATCATGCACCCCCTTGGGCAATCTGGTTTAGCAACTGGAACTATGTTGCTTCCCAGCTGCCAAATTAAGACAAGCCTTTGAGCCACAAGGAAGGCATTTTATAAATGTCATGGTGTATTATACCGGTAGATATTTTACTGAAGCGGTTTTTTTTTTATTTGAGAGTTTAATCTACATGGCATTTGGTGTTCAGCTTAAGTCATGGTAAACAATCACGAATTCAAGGATGCAGGTTGGGGCAGGATCACGAATGGACATTTTAAGTCTTGGGAGGGAAAACAGAAAACAAAGGCTTAGAGTCATAAGGTAAAATAAGATCAGCCAAATTTATTGGCAACCATGTCTAGGGTTGAATTCGTATACAATGTTTTCAAAAATGGAATGTAAACCAAACAGCACGAAGGTCCGCCCACAGAACTGACGTGTAACCATCCAGACAAAGTCCCTGAAGAGCCACGAACACTTGAAAGAATTTTGGAGATAAAACTGAGACCTAAAGATGAGACAAAATAAAAACAATTAGGTGTAAACATCGGCTAGTTGTAACAAAAACTGGAGATAAAATGAAAAGGCCAGTTAAAAAAATTGCTGAAGCTATTTGCACGAGTGCGGGGAAGAGGAGATTCATTTGTTGACCTGTCTCACAGCTTGTGCAGAAATTCGGCGGGAAAGGGTAATAAACATTTGGAGTTTGAGGATCCTATATATATTAAAAAAACGAAGCGGCCAAAGGAAAATATCTGCGTTCTGGCATTCATAGGATCAGTCCAAATGGGATGAATTCACCAAAAGACTAACTTCATAACGGGGCATGCAGCTGGTGGCGAAGAAAGGGAATTCAATTGGAATTAATAAACGTTTTTCAGGTTTGACATGAGAACTTGTAATCATGCAAAATAGGCATTTAAGCCAAAGGAACACTGAACGCAGTCAGACCGGTAGTTTCACTCACTTTAAAGACTATAGGCCAACAGGTGGTTTTAATGTTAGGAACAATATTTGTGTTCGATAAACAGACAAAAACAAAATTGGGAACCCTTTTGTTGAAATTCTTGGCGCCGGGCAATACTTTTTCAACAACAGTTACAAAGTAGGACGCCCTCTGTCACACAGTTGTTGGCGCGGCATTATCACTTGTGTACGTGTATTAAACTCCACCCCCTCTTCGCCCGTAGTATAGTAGTACACGTACGTTCCGGGTCGCGCGACAAAGTTCAATTCAAGGTGCTTTTATCCGGGAAATTTTGTCTCAGACTATGCCCATTTGGAGCATCTTTGAGGATTCAAAATGGAAGCTTTAAAGAGGTTGAAGAAAAAGACGAAAGATGCGGTCGAGGTGAGTAGATTTCAGGGTTTAGTCCGTAGGCTTACACGTACATGTACATGTATGTACCGGTACCGTACCTGTGTGTATACATGTACGTAGCTACAGCGTGAGAACTGTAAATCGTGTATTTCCGACACTAAACCATTCGAATTTTTGTATTTGCACAACAGTCGAGCCTACGTGCTGGTAAACTTGCCAAGCATTCCGTTTCCTCAAGATAGAGTTTAACGCGACTGTTTTCCCCTTTGAAACAAATTCAGCATATTCGATCTGGAGAGAACTAGGCTCAGGCTTGGTTCCTCAGATTCTGAGTCAGCTCAGAGACTAATAGTAGGCCCTATCATAACATTTATTGGCCTAGGCCAACTGCAAATTTTTGCTGGTGGGTAGGTGAATTAAGGGCAAACTAACAAACTTAAACACAACAACACAAACTGATGGCTGACCGTGGGTTCAAATCAGCACCCTTACATTGGCAGCTGTACTCTTAATTGTCATGATTGTGTTAGCGTACACTGTTATGTTACATGAATTAACATGATTGAATGATAGTGTTACGCCCCAACTACAGCATAAGTCCCAACTAGAGTGCTACAGTTGGGCCGGCCCAACTACAGCAGAGAGGTCCTGTGTGCATGATGTGCCCAGCATGTGCCAAAGTCATATTGTTTACAAATGTCATGTCATTGGTCATAGGGCTAGATGAACAGATGAAGTGCCTCATTTTAGATGAATCGTGTCAAGTGTGAGACACATTGACTTGGATAATGTTGAGACATTTTCCACACACATTGGTTAACAATAGTTGGGCCAGCCCAACTGCAACACTACAGTTGGGACTGTCCCAACTATAGTGGGGACGTTATGCTGTAGTTGGGGCGTAACAATAGTAACTGCTTCAGTAATGTTCAAAATAATATGTGGCCAGTTCTTGGTATAGATTTGGTGTGATTGGTTGATCAGCACAATTGCACAATTGTGTTGGGCTCTCACTTGATCCTGTATGAAATGTCTGCTTACACGTTTGGCTACACCTCCTTTTTCGAAATAGTCCTCAACCGTAAATTTAGAAAGAAACTGCACTTGTCTAAAGGTGAAATAATTGCAGATTGCAGTATGGAGTGATTGTTCAAACTGACACTTGCCTCCATGGCCTAATCACCTGCTATTCCCCCAGTAAGGGTCAAATCCTTGTGACGCATCTCCTGAAATTTTTTTCTTCCAAAAGGACAGTGAGCAATTCCTTCTTGTTTGAACTCAGATTCTACGCTGCTGGTAAAAATAGCAAAATGACAGTCGGGGACCGGCACAACCGGTTTAGTCAAACATCCACTGCCTAATACACACATACCCTAAACACTCGTTTGCATGTGGGTTCTTTTCCACAGGGCAGCAAAGGTGGAAGCCCGCAGCAGTCACGGCAAGAAACGAAAGGGGCTGGAGAACAAGAGGTATATTTCATAATCTCCAGAATGCCTGTTGCCCCTTGGAGCAGGCCCTGCTTTGAATATGCATGTTCAACTGATTAACCTTTGACCTTTGGCACTTGTTTTCAGTCTCTGAAATTGCACTGCATAGAGGGATTTCACATTAGCGCCGTCTGCGCATATCTGCATCGAAACCGAGGCTCTAGCTGAGTTGAACTTAATCGCGCGCATCTGCGGAGTCCACACAGTACATGCAGTATCTGGTTCGTAAGTGTGATGCCACTTCAGTTTAAACCACGCCCACTGCACAAGATACAGGACCATCGCAGGTATGTTAGTTCGCGGTCAATTGTCGTTATGTTTTCTTTTGATTTTACATGTCAAGTCATCCTGAAAGACTCTTCCACAAAAATTTGCATCCTGAAAAGTCTGAATTTAACATACCTTCATGTATTTCGTGTCTTGACTCCTTACTTTCAATCGTCTGATTGTATTAAGAATTGAAGCTGATACATACAGCCTTGTTTTCAAACGCGGAAGTGCGCAGATCCACGCTAAAAGCGTCGTATTGGGATCCCTCTATGGAGGCTACATTGTAAGAAAACAATAAATTATGGCCAGACCCTGACCTTATGTAGGAACTCAAGGATGTGACATGTATTGAACGGTTTCATCCCTATTTCTTGCACATGTAGGGTTTTATTTGCCCTGTGTGTATGGTCACGCTGTCTTCACCCGAACAACTCCAAGTTCACTGGGAGTCAGTTCACAATACACCTGCTGCAGAGCCGAGTCCTGCCCCTTCAAGTCCATCCCATCATGCCATCCCCGCTTCCATAGTGGAATCGTCTGGACAGCATTCGTCGATGGTCAGTATTTCTGTATAGTCAGCACTCAGTCTAGGCTTTGTTGTGCATTGTAATATGCGGTACATTGTTGCGTTGTCTTTTTGTTTTGCCAGTGAATATAATGTTTCCGCAATTTTGCCTCAAAGAGCCTTAAAATTAGAGTAAGAAATCCTCAGTTTTTTGTCCCAGCTTCTAAATTTAGTCACCATCCAGAAAGTGTATCGGATGTACACACTTCCATACTTTCCAGTTTTCATTTTCTTCTTCTGTCTTTTTTCTCGGTACACGTGGCTTGCAACAATGTTGGTAACAGAACAGGTAAGCACAGTTGTTGCATTTTTAAAAAACTTTCGCAGTTACTTCAAACTCTCAGCTTTTTACAGTAAGATGTTTGAATGTAATTATATGCAAATGAAACAGACCTGTTGGTTGAATGTATAGCTACCGTACTTCATGTGTAATGTTGAGATTTGTTCAAATATATTGTGTGGTACAGCGTTGGTTGTAATAAATTTCTGTTTTGTTCATCAGGGACGGCGATGTGTTGGCACTCAGGCAAGAATTAGAAGACTTGCGAGTTTCATTAAAGGTAAATGCAGGATTGAAAAGAATTTACGTCGAAGTTTGGTAGTTTTATACAAAGGATCATTACCCTGCTTGTCAGATACAGTAAATATTGTTGACCTTTTTTGATGGTTTGAAATAAGGGAAGCGTTTGTCTTGTTTTATTAGGGATCGCACACCACATGCTTTCATGGGTGTGGCCTTCACCCTATTGAGGGGATGGTATCTTTGTTAGGAAAGTTCAGACTGAGTTTTGGGGCCAACAATCTGTCCCCCGTTTCACTTTTGGTCTCCACGTCGTCTTTGTTTGAACATGTGTCACTTTGCAGTCCCTACAGCTGCAGAACAGCTGTCCATGCATTTGCTCATGCATGCATGGTTTGTGGTACACACCACCGAAAAGTGAACAGATACATTGACTTGTCCCCCCCCCGGGGCTCTGGTTGCAAGGTTTGGGGGGCATGATGGGGGTGCAGTATTCCAGTGTCCGCCTCGACTTTCTCTCGCCTTGTCGTTTGGGGCGGAGCTTTAGCTTTGAAATAGAGAGCCAGCATTGTGAATTTATGTAGGTTACCTTTTCAAATGAAACTCTGCTCGTAAGTCTGGAGAATATTCTCGACCTTCTTCATAATGTTTTTAAATATTGATTCTAAACATGGGCGTGCTTTTCCAGGAGGAGAAATGGTATTCTGAGGAACTCAAGAAAGAAGTGGAAAAACTACAGCAAGGACAAGTAAGAAAACGAGCCAAATTTCCAAGGGCGTAGCTGGGAAAATGTAACCCTACCTTTCCTTAACGACCATGTTCGTATCAGATGTGTTGATGTTGATTGTCACACACAGCACATTCCTTTAGGACACATTACCAACAGCCCTAGGAAATAATGCACCTGTTATCATTATTCTTTGATTGTTGTATGATATCATTAGTGAATGTGAAATCTTTTTTTACTTCACTTTTAATATCAACTGGACATTGCTCTGGTCACTGCCCGGCTGTGTTAGGCACTGTTTGCAAAGACAAATTGACATTCCTAGAACCGAAAGGCCCTTGCCGTACCGAAACTGCTTTTTTCTTCTTAAAAGGAAGTTAGAGACCGTTGTCTCTTCAGGAGGAATTTTAGCCTGAACAGGTATTGGTCAGCACCTGTTGACATGATCTTTGTTTGCAACAATCCTTTTTTGGGCATTCATTGTTTAGCCTACAGCAGGTGGAGGAGATGTCAACTTGAAGCGAGCGGAAGAAGACAGGACGATGTGTAAGTATCTCTTCATTCGAGAACACAGGTCAAGGCGAGACTCCTTCAAAAGTTTGTTTGCTGTTTGGAAGTCCTGGAAAGAAATTGTGGGGCCATTCTGTGATCTTGGAAATCTCTAGATTATTTTCAGTTTCAGTGCTCTTGAACCTTGATGCACCACAAAATCTCTCTACAGGTGGCTTCGTTAGGGTGGTGGAAGAGTTACTTATAAATTTTAGACTGGTGCAAACTTCACTGCTAAAACCATATGAGCTAAAACTAGTCAGTTCTGTCGATGCATCCCCTCACAGTGGTGCTGAATTGTAATGATAATTAAAACGAAAGCCGCTCATTTACTGAAGAATTGTAGTAGTTTTTGAATTACAAACAGTTGCTTCATTATAGCTGGTGGTCTGCCTCATTCATTTGATTTTTTCACATGGGTCCTCTGTCTTATAGTGTCGTCCGAAGTTGTCTTGCTCCGTCAGCAGCTGGCGGAATCCATGGATAATGCTAAAGCTTACAAGACTGTCAAAGACGCCATGGAGCAGAAAGCAGCCACTCTGGTGAGGAAACGCTCTGGCAAATTGTTGTATTGCGAGACTAAATGGTGCCGTTGGGAAGTTTGACTGTCGATACGAGCTTGAAATTTGAGCGCAGCCTCATTAATGCTCACCTGGTAACAAATCCAAGAATTGTCAGCGTGTCTTTTGCCTGAGCTTGTACAGTTTTTGGAAAATGTACTCTATCTTACAACCTTCTTCCCCGAGCATAATCTTTGCATACTGCATGCTGTTTGAGCAATCGTAGACCATCAACAGCTTAATCCATTTCTCCTGCTAGACGTATCGTTATGTCTCCTGATTGATTTGGATTGAATGGACAGCTTTGTCCAGAGTGTATTTTTGGTAGAGAATGATTCTGTTAAATGCTAGTGACAATGTACATAGGCACATTCTATAGGGAGTGAACTTTCCATGGACTGTCTTGATGACACACTCTCTCTTGTTTTTTATCAATGCTGAAGTTTTTATCAACTTTTTTTTCCCTTCTGCTTTGTTACAGGCAACTGAGGTGGTGACGTTGAAATCCTGCTTGGATGAGGAGAAAGCACTGCATAACAGCCTGAAGGAAGCCATGCATCAAACCCAGGTGGGACTGAGTTCATCCACACCGGGGTTTATCGGCAGGAAGTGTTTGATGAGTTGGGGGGGGGGTGTAGCAGCTGGTGTGCCCAGGAGTCATTCTGATGTGGGGCATGTGACTCACAGGTCTCCTCACTGCTCTGATCTGTGCATTCGTGCCATCCCATTCGCAGTGGGCTACGTGATCAAGTATACCCTTGCTCAGGGACGAAACAGGTGCGCTGGGTTGATACTAGGACCCAGCCTGGCACCCTTGCGGAGCACCCAAGGGCATGGTTGCCCTCAAATATGGGCTGCGTGTGCACACATGAGAACATGTTTGTTCCCTACTTCTGGGGGCAACATGCATGTTGAAATACAGATGTCGTGGGGAAAAAAAGTTACGGGACCCTTCTCCCTGCCATGCTTTTGTCCAAACAAAACGCACCCGCTTTCATTCACATATACCCTCTCTTTACTTTACAAAAAGAGGAAATGTTCTCAGATTTTTCACATTTCTTCTTTTACTCCGTAGACCGCTGCCAGAGTAAGTTGTTCACTCTTTGTGATATCCTCAAAGCTTAAGTTGCTTGGATCGTGTTACTGTGCGTGTGTATTTGCATGTAGCTTGGGCATGGAGCGTGGCTATGAGTTATTGAGTTGTCCAGTGTAATTATTATTTTTTTGTAAATTTTGCCAAGCTGTGTTCCCCTTATTGACTGAATCCAAGGCAATTCAACATTAATACTCATATAAGGAACTGTGTGTTGGTACATGGAGCCATTATGTCGATTGCATATGTAATTCAGTTTTTCTATTTTTCCGTTTCACTAACATAGCCAGGTATGATTAGTTTGACCCCAATGTTGTCAATCACCCAATTTTATTTATTTATTTGTTTAACATGCTGTAGGGAGGGTTAAAGTGTTCAAATGGGTGTCACCAAATTAAGTTTTTGAAGTAATCGTGCTCAATAAAAGAGAACATCCAAAACTTGTCTACACTGTACATAGGTACAGATGCACAGAACGTCTTAAACATACCTGAAGGCAACATCTTAGTGGGCTTAGAGTTTCCGTCAATACCTGTATCATGGAGTTTGTTGCCACAGATTTGAAAAGGTGTAGCCTGAATACTTCCATCTGCGTCTGAAATGATGTGTGTGTTCATTCATCGAATGTATTCAATATGCGGTAATTTCAAACCGCAGTGTTAACCCCTTCGCGACGGATGACGAGAAGAGCCACTGTAAAAATTGAGATCCTCGGCCCGCTTTTCAGCTATTATTCTGTGCCCACGCTTGAGCGAACACGGTGAAAGAAGGCATACCCTGGCTCTTGTATATATCGTGATTGGCCTTTGTGTGTTGCCAAGAAATGAAAAGGCCGAATTTGCATCATTATCACCAGCTTCACAATATCCCCACTTCGAAAAGAGGCAACGGGAATGTGGAAGCGTGAGTAGAGCCGCATGCCACCAACAATCAGCCTTTTCACTGCGTAATTCAAAGCGTGCAGAGCACGCAGGGCCACAAACCGAGAACTTGTGGTCTGGCAGGTGGCCTTCGTGGCCAAGCGAGGCTGGAATTCTCGGAGTTGGCTTTCAGAAAAAAGTTCCCGTTGTCAAGGGGTTAATGTATACGGAGTATTCAGTGTGTACAGTGTGAGATTTGATTTGGTCAGGCAAATGCACTGCACCTGCTAAACGAGAAGATGATATTGAACCATCAGAATTATGGTTTTGCGTCAGATTAACCCTAACACTCCTCAGTCCTCCAACAGGTGAAGGATTGAGGAGGGTTAGGGTTAAACGTATGAAGGCATTACCCTCAGAAACAATACAGATTTTGCATTCGCTACATGTGTGACTTTCTTGTCTATGCTCAAATAAAATAAAAAATTTGATCTTACTGATTTATACATTGATGAGAGAATCATGAAAGAAGCTTTTGTTTGGGGCTTCATTTCTTGAAATATAATTGATATGTTCAAGTGTTGGTTTTTATAAATTTTTTAAAAACCCTTCCATAGGCAAATCAGGAATTGAACGCTAGCCAAATTATTTGTGATGCATTAACATAGCTATTTGTTGTTGGTGTTCCAGAGCGTGCAATAAAGTATGCGAACACTTCCCTCCCAAGTGATGACTCATGTTGACACCTCTGGTCACATTACTGACTATAAACCAAAACAAGTGAGCCAGTCTTGATCATTCTAAAAGGAAGAAGATTTTGATTCATGTTTTCACAGATTGAGCTTCAGGACAGAGACGCGAGAATGAAAGCTGTCCAGTCACAGCTGCTCCAAAGGTACAAAACTCGCTGTCTTTGCAGATTTGATTCCCTCTTTTGAGTTTCTCCGAAGCCTTATTTTTAATCATTTAGAATGTTGAGGATTTGTTTGCCGATGACAGGTGATGCCAAGAGTATGGGATCGGGGTAATTTGTATCATCCAATCTGTATTGCCTGATTGCTTGAGCTGTCTGCGTTGTTGATTGATCTTATGTGAAATCTTTCAATCCAGCCATCATCGGTCGATCTTGTTTCTTTATTTCATGTCTGGGGGAGATTGTGTAGCGGGGAGGTCTTGGGTTTTGCACAAGCTGGACCAATAGCGTCGTGCAGTTGATTGAAAATGCAAATCCAGTGATAACACCCAACACTCCCAACTACTGGCAGTGGGCCAGGACATAGTAAACGTCTCCCCTTGTTCTGTAGTTAAGTATAATGTTAGTACACAACAGTCATGTGACTCATGCACTTGATGCACTCAGACCATGTATCTTGAACCTGTTGTATCCAGGCCAGGTGCAGATGACGTCATGGTCCTGAAGAAGGAGCTAGTGTCGGTGCAGATGCTGATGGACGAGTTGTCGCTCGCCAACGAGGCAGATATGAAACAGTTGAAGGAGAAGCACGAAGATCTCAAGGCAGAGCATGAAAAGTAGGTTCCTTGGAGTGATTGGGATAGAATTCTTGTTATTGAATTCTTGTTTAGATCAATCCAGGGAGACATACCATCTTGCTGGAAATGTCTTTTATTAATTTTGAAGGTCACTTGACAGTTTTTTATATCTCATGTTGGGATCTGTTTTCAATGCTGAGACAGTTTACTCTTCACACTCTAATTATTTTAGTCCAGATTTGTTTCTGTAATTGCATTCAAGCTAGTCCCTTTTGTTTTGAGTCAGAGGTGAAACGACTGTTCAGGTCAAAAGCATGTGTTCCGAAAGTTGAAAAAAAAAAAGGGCATAATTGTTATCATATTTGAAAGGAGCTTGTGTTTTGGACAAGAACCAATGCTTACTCAAGCCACAAGTTGAAAGATGTGAATAAGCTCGGTGTTTTGTACCCCATTGAAATGAAAAGTGGAAACTGATGGTATGTCTTTGGAAGAGACTTGTTCTGTAAAGACCTTTATAAACTAACCCTCGAGTTAAATCCTTGTGCGCCGTCTTGGTAAATGAGATATCTTGTGGGAAGCCTATTTAATCAGGCATTTCCAGGCATCTGTTTTTGCGACCATGACATTTTCTGTTTTGGGTTAAGTTAAACCCTAACAGAACATTACACATTTTCCATGCATCCATTCTGTCTCCTCTTGTAGATTGCAAGCGTCAGTTGCTGACAGTAACAGCGGCAGCGAGGCCCTCAAAGAAGAATTCCAAGCCAAGATGGAAGAAAACGCAACCCTCTCCCAGCAACTCAGCGAGGTAACACCGAGAGCCATTCAACCCCACCCTCTGATATTATTTTCTGTTTAGGAAACTTCCTGGACATGCCAAAATTTATTGAAAATCAAAAATTTAACCAAAACGTGACAAGCTGACAAAAAAAGACAGTTGGGGCAAAAGGAAGCGAGCAAAGACAAAAACAGGTATTTAACTCAGCCTAGACCGTTGACATGTTTGAACTTAAAGTGAGGGGCCTGGCCCATGCAAAGTACTAGTGCTTTTCTTATGTAGTCTTAATTCAGTTGAAGGATTGCGAGACTAGGTGTTTACATTTTGGCCAATTTTTTGGGGGTGGTGAAATTGAGGTCCAGCTGTAGTGAATGAGATGTATCCTCCTCTGAATCAGGTACGCGGTCAGTTGAGGGACCAGGAATCTGCCTGCTGCAAACTGCAGCAGGAATTGGACTTTGCCAAGCAGCAGCAACTGCAGCAGGTGGCCAGCAAAGAAAATCAGTATTCAGAACTGCTGCAGCAACTTGAGCAGGTAACGCCCGCAGCAGGTGTGAATGAATATCTCCAAATCAGAATGAGGTGACCAAGCATCTTAGTCCTAAACTGTTACTAATTAACTTATGCCCTGCACTCTCTAATAACCCTCTGAACACAACGCTGAATTGAGCTTCCTAGAAATATTTGAGTTCAGTTTCCAAGAAAAAAAATACGCCCCAAAGTTACAAAAATCTCTTGGAGCGTACTTGACAACTGTTTAGCCCCTTCAGTCACAGTGGGATTCTTTTGACCGCGACTGTTGGGCTGCGGTATGCCCAGTATGCAAAGCTCTGTCCAGCAGCAGGCCCACATTGAAACCGTGGGTGCATGATGAGTAGAATGCATGTGTGGTATGCACTAATCCTCACTCAAAACCGCGGCTGTAGCAGTCATCCGTCACAGAGGTTAAACAACTACCCCATGTGGTTTGAGATTGAGGTTGTTTAATTTTGTTTTATATTAGGCCAAATCTTCACAGCAAGAGATGGAAGCTGAGATAGCCGAGGTTCAGAAGCAGTTAGTAGACAGCAGGCAGTCAGCGGAAGAGCAGCACGTACAGCTGGAGCAGCAACTTGCAGCAGCACAGCTGCAGATTGCTAAGGTAGGAGGAAGATGATGTTTACTACACTGTGAATTGCACGGATGCTGGCTTTTTTGTCAAATGTGGACTCGTGATGTATTTACTACAACACTCCGTTTTGACTCTGCCCATTTATATTCCAACTTGCCCAACCCCCCAGACTGAGGGAAATGTGAACGAGAAAGATGCTCAGGTCTCCGACCTTCAGCTTCAGTTGGACATGCTACAGCAGCAGCACAACCAGGAGTGTGTGAATAACGACGACCTGCGGTCGCAGCTACGAGAACGGCAGTCGCAGATTGAAGACCAGCAGCGCTCACTAGTGGACAGGTAAGACCCCGCTCACCTTCAGGGTGGTGTGTTGTGTCCAGCTGTTCCTTGGACAGATGCTATTCTGGAATCATTGAGTGCCCGTTATGGACCAGCCCATCAGAATAATTCTTTTATTCTTCTGCAGTCTGGGTTACCCTTCAAATTACAGTTTGGGTTTATTGGGGGCAGATAGTATAGCTGAGAAATGCTCAACTTCCTCATAGATTGATAGATTTGAAGGATTTGATAGATCGGAATTGTTTGATAGATTGGAATGGTTTGATAGATTGGAATGATTTGATTGATCGGAATGATTTGATTGATCGGAATGATTTGATTGATCAGAATGATTTGGGCATCTTTTTTGTTTTGGTTTGACTGTGTTGCTGATTGTGATGTTTTACAATTTCTGACTTTTGACAATTTTCCTTGTTTGATTGCCACTACAGGCAGGACAAACTTGCAGAACTGGAGATGTCCTTGCAGAAGCAGAGAGATGTAGCTGAGAGGCTGGAAGGGGAGAGAGCCGATCTAATGGCCAAGGTACAGAAAGGTCAAAGGTTGATGTGTGAGAAACAGGTGTCTTGTGTCCCTTTGTTGGCTTTTTGCTGGTTTCTGTGGGAAGGATTGTCATATCTCATGTTGAGATGATAATGTGTTGCATTTGATACAACAAATTCTGTGTTGATTATGTTTGAAATTTAGATCGAGGCTGGGGAAGGGATCTCAACAGCCATACAGCAACTGAGACAAGAAAACGTAGGTATTCACGTCTTGGTTTCCATATTCATATTCACATCTTGGTTTCCATATTCATTTGTGGCGATACAGTTTCTCTAAGTAGCATTTGAATTATTTAGTTGTTTGGAATGGTCATTAAAAATGGGTTTTTCAGTTGATGTAGTAATTGTCAATGATCGGAACTTTTGCAGGAATGCTTACAAGATCAGATATCTGAGCTGGAGTCGACTAAAGATAAGCTTACGGAGGAACATCGAGCAGTCAGTGAGGACCTTCATAAGCAATTACAACAGGTGAAAGGAGAGGGGACAGGCCTCAGACAGCTGTAACGGTCAGGAAGTAGACCAAAGTTGTTGATCTATCATCTGCCAGAACTAGGACCCAGTTCATGGCTTTGCTATGACCGCAAAATTTTGTAGTAATGATCAACATGCTGCGCGTACAATGCTTGCCCTAAAAAATTTGTGCTGAAGTAAGCTCAGAATCCTTGGTTACCGGATTTACCCATGGGCATAACCCAAAGTTCCTTGTGAACTTTAAGAAATACGCAAATCAACAGCACAGAATATTTTTTTATCATTTGCAGCTTACACCTAAAAGTACTCGGGCAAAGTGTAGTGTGCTGAGCTGTGAAGTTTTAATGCCGCGTACGTTGCCAACAACTGGATGTGAGTTTCAGTGACCAATTTCAGTAAAGAACATCAATTTCTCTGCTTAACAACATTTGCAGACTAAAGCTCAGGTAGAGGACCTTACAAAGCAACATGAGAGAGAAGAAGCCAACTTGAAAGAGACAAGAACAAAACTGACCACTACTCAAGAGAAATTGGTTAACACTGAAGCTGACCTCAAAACCAAGGTAGAAAAATATTGGCTGTTTTGAGCTCTCCCCGACAGTAATTGGTTTCACAGCGTGCAAAATCTTGTACTATGAGCAGCGTATCAAATCTTTGCAAATATTTCAAGCTTTGAATTGTCAAGGTGGACATCTTGAAATACATCTTGAAATCCCATCTTTACAGATGGAAACTCTGATTTATATTGAAAGTGAAATGTTTTAACAACTGTTTGAACTAAAATTTGTCTCATCTTGCAAACACCAATTTACAGTTAGTAGACATAACTTGGTCTTGAATTTGGATATTTATAATGTTTAGTTTTAGGAAATATTCCATTAGCAACCGTATTTTATCGCGAATCTGCTGTTTATGAAATGCATTCCGTTTAATCTGAAGTTTAAGAGAAGCACAGATGGACTTGAAGTCCACAAAGCATTGACGGTAACATTCTGAAAACAATAAAGGTGCCGATATCGAGCACTAACTTTTTTCCCTCACCCCAGGGAGAATTGCTTTTTGCTGCCGAGGCCTCCCTAGCAACTCAGAGAGCTGACCTGGAGAGTCACCTGAGAACGTCGCAGGCCGGCCTGCAGGACAAGCAGCAAGAACTCCATAAGATACAGGAGCAACTAGAAAAGGTGTGAACGGAAGCGAAATACAGGAAGGCCAGGGCACTGCAAGATTGACCTGTCACCCGCATAATGAAGAGGAGTAGGGAACTGGTTGAAAAATATGGAGAGTAATATCATCATTGTGAAAACATTTAACATGAAGGTCCAGAATTGATGGACTTTGTTGGCATATTTTGTAAACCTAACACTCTTTTTGCACCTTAATTTAACCAGTTTGCGCCGGGATTTTATATCCATGTTGATTCTGCTGGGCCGGGGGAATTTTCATTTTTTTTTGGCTTTCAGAATTCTTTAAAAATTCATAGCTTCATCTACTGGATGTTTACACCCACACGAATGACTCTCTGGTGGCTACTCTAATCTGACAGACATTTATTGACACCTGAGTATTTCAGCCAGACCTGCGTCCTTGTAAAAAGAGCCCAGATTGTGCGGTGTTATGTAATTTTCTTTTGTTCCCGAAACTGGCACAGTGCGTTGCTGACGTCTTTTCAATAGGGGCCAGATTAGCATGCAGCGGTGCTGTATTGCTCACTGGAGTGCTTCAGCGCTTTTGTCCCCGGTGGTAATCCACTTGCGCTGAATGTCACAAACAGTGCTTTAATATTTCAAAACAATGACAGATTTCCTCCCCCACCGACAACTGAAAAAATGTTGGCAATTCCCTGCAGCTTAGTTTTTTGTTCTGAGTATGACCTTTTGTTACAAGGCCCAGCTCTATGGTACGGCTTCGGGCTCCCCGGCTTTGTGTATAAAGCCTGGTATGAAGTGCTTAACAGCAGTTAATAGAAAAACTCCACAAATGTTATCATTCTGTCAATGTTTCTGGCTCAACAATTTTACAGTATTGATGAGGACCTCCTCAATCTGTTAATTGTAATGAAACAAGATTTCAAAACTTTTCATCAGAACCTTGAAAATACTCAGAGATTAGGGTTTGTTCCATAGGTGAAATCTGTTTGGAAATGCTGAGTTTGCTGTCTTTTCTTTCAGACTCGATCAGAATTATTGAGCACCAAGGAGCAGCTCTCCGACCTGGAAGTCAAGCAGACCTCCCTGCAAGAACAGTTGACAACCTCAAACCATCAGCATTCCTTGTTACAGAATGATCTACTGGCTAATGTAACAAAATAGTGGATACAAAACCAAATTTGAAGGGGGAGGGCAAAATTGTTTTGATGGCCAAAAACTTTAATTTTGAACGGGCTCTCTGAGGGGCAGGGCTAAAGTTTGGGGCTCGTGACGTGCTTTTGGAAGGGAGGGAAATAAAATAGGCCTAAAAAGTGCCTTTCATTCATTCTCCCGTAATTGTTACCCCTTTTTTCGGGGGGGTGGGTGCCATTGACCCCTTTGGCCCCCATCTGCCAATAAGGCGAAGGCAGTAACATTTCCAATAGAATCAGTACACATTGTATGGAGTGGAGCCCAAAGCCGGCAGAAAAAAAATTCGTGGATCTGATTAGTGCTGTGGTATGCTTCCTGCTCTTCTCCTGCTGTGACTCAGGTTCAAATCCCGCCTTTAACTATCATGAGGATCTAATTATTCAGTCCTCACCTGATCACGTTAACTGTTTTTTAATCTTCTGAAAGTAGCCCCAGCAACTTGTGAAGCTTATGAGGCATTTTGCATCTCGGAAATTTCAGTTTAATGACCAGTAGTGGAGTCACAACCTCGCCGTTTTTTGAGCTGATTATCTTGTAGTTTGATGAGAGAGCCACTTGACAACATTGTTTATTTTATTTATTTCCTTCAGGTGAGTCAGCTAGCCCTTGTTGAAGAGAACAAGAAAGAGATGGAAACTCAGCTGAACGGTCAGCTGCAGTCCCTACAGGTGAAGTTGATTGACAGAGAAGAGGCATTCAGCAAAATGGCGAGGGACTGTGAACAGGTGGGTGTGCTCATGATGAGCAAGAGGTTGTAGTGGTGAGTTGGATGCGGTGAGATGGACGCGGTGAGTTGGGCCAGCAAGGAGGTGTGGAAAGAAAGTATCAGATATCGCACAGGATTGTGACGTGCACAGATGCTCATACCCAATCCGACAGTGGTGTGTATGTGGTGGTGAGTGGTGAGTTTGGGGTCACCAGTAAGTTGTCATTTTATGGCCTGTTGAGTGATGGGTGTTAAATGTGAGGACTTGCTGTGGTGGGATATAGATACATACCAGCGAGTTCTAGTCCTCAGGAAACTAACTCATTTAATAGTTGTGTTGGCCCTGAGGTGACTTCACTTTGGGGAATGTTTTTCTGAAAAGAATCACATTCAGCAAAGTGAATGATTTCTTAAAAAGTGTCTGCATTTTTTTCAATTTTTACCCTTTGTGACACTGGATTATTGTAGTCCTTGGATTGTATAACAGCCAGTAGGTTTGACTGCTCTCAGTATTCAAATGCTGTCAAAAACAACAGGTAGCCTTCTGAATAAAGCTACATGTAAATGCCCAAGATGTCATAAGAAGTTTGAGACTCATCACTCATAACTCATCATATTGGATATTTGACGTTGGTATTTGATAAATTCATTTTTCAGACAAAAGAGAACAATGCTGCATTGATTTCTGGACTAGAAAAGGAATTGGAAACAACCAAGACTAAATTGACGGAGACACAAACGCAGTTGCAAGAACAGGTACATGTTTATGGATAAACCATTTCCCCAATATCCTTAAACTTCCATTTGCAGTTTTTATGGCAAATGAAAAGCATGTTAGTCGTGGGTTACTTTTCAGCAACTCATTATTATGAAGATCTTTTTGTAGGTATAAATTGCAAAAGTTAAACCTTAGGTAGTTTATTGCAGTTTAAGTCTAAAAACCCATGTTTCATTCAATTTGGCGGGAATGACAAAAATTGGTTTTCGTTTTGAAATTCTCAGGTGGCCATGCTTGAAGAACAGAGGATGTCCATTGAGGAGTCGTTATCAACAACCCGGCAAAGTCTCCAGCAGAAAGAACAGGAATTCACTCAACTACAACAGCAAAAGGTGACAAGTTTGGCTTAAAATTCCATTTCAATTACCAGGGAAATAAGCACCACGTGGTAAAACCAGAAGTTACGCATTTTACCAATTTTTGTGCGTGATTTGCTTTTACCGATCAACAATTTACCTAGCTTTCTTGTGAAGAGAAACTTGTTGGTTCTGATAGGACTGACGTTGACCATTTCTGTGTGTTACAGGCTGCAGTTATGGTACAAGCTGCTGAGAAAGTGGAGAAACTTAACGCTGATTTACAGAATACACAAACTGAACTCAGCCAAGCCAAGGTGGGAATTCTGTTTCGAGAGCTTTGTAAGCTAAGGACATAAAAGTCTTGTTTGCTTCAAAAATACAAATTTATCTAATTTGTATATTTATTTATAAATTTGTATATTTAAATAGATAAATTTTAAACTGTGAAATTTCAAGATTTTGTTTTTTGGTAGAAAATGAACAATTGAAACAATTAAAAAAGTAGTTGTTCCTAAATGAACAATGTTTCTGAGGAGTGAGGCTTCCATAGGCTGTTTTGGCAATAATTGATTGTTTCTGTAACGAGGGAATCTGGATGGAGTGAAGATCACTTGGTTTTAATTTCCATTCAGACCAATTTGGCAGCCAGTCAGCAGTCCATTCTTGAATTGACGGAACGCCTCAAATGCCTAGAAACCGAGAAATCAGAACTGCAGGATCAGTTCAACGTGGAGCAAGACGTAGTGGTCGCTCTCAAGAAACAGAACACGGATCAAGAAACGACAATCGCTCAGAAGGTAAAAGAAAGCCAATTCTCTCACATCGCCTGTTTTTATGGAGCAAACCCGACTGAAGTCTGTAGCATTTTGTCTGTAAATCCAACCACTCCTTCTCCGATAGGTTGAGTTGTGTGCCAAGTTGGAGAGACAGTTGGAAAGCAAGGACAACAAGCAGAAGAATTTACAGCAAAAGATAGAGGTAGGTCAATTATTTTTGGAAGAGTGGTTTTTTTTTTTAATTCCAATCTCGTCAATGGTAATATTCCACGTTGCATTTGTCTCGGGTGCCAGTTTTTAAAATGGCAAGATACCACAGCCCCAATCCTTTACAAAGTCGGATGCTAGATACGCTGACCCTTGGTGGTCATTCTTCCAAGATTTATGCGACATTTCTTCAAGCGTTATTGCTTTTGTGGAAATCAGAGACAGTGTCGCGGAACGGAACATGCTACAGAACTTTAAACTGAGTTGAATCCGAGAACAGGCCTAGAGCAACTTGAATCCGACGCAGATCACTTCTCTTGTGGCACGGGTACGTGAGCTACCCATGCAACCTGACTTTGATTAATTGATTTCTTCATCAGGTGCTTGAGCAAGAAATTGCCAAATCATGTGAACAGTGCAAAAACTACGAGTCTCAAGTAGTCAAACTGCAGACCCAAGTCAAGGTAAGAGATAACTTGATCAAAGGCTACCTGCTTCCCCTGTTATTATCTGTAATTTTGTATACCTAAAAGTAGTTTGGCATAATATTGTATTCATAGTATCGTGACCTTTGACATAAGCTGACTGCTTTTTCACTCACAAGCCTGTCAAGACATTTATGATTTGTCAGTTTACATTGCTATTTAATTTAATTGCTACTTATAAGTTACTTGACAGTGTGTAACAGTTGTATTTTTGCCATTCCAAGGAAGTATTGGATGCAATTGTCCATGGCCACTTGGAGAGGAGTATTCATTTGCTGGAAATATATGTGGTTGAATTGATATTTATTAATGTAGGTACTAGTCAGAACCAGTGTTGTAATCGAGACCATGCACAAGACCAGACACGAGACCAGAGACAAGACCATGCACAAGACCTGACACAAGACCAGATACAAGACCATGCACAAGACCAGACACAAGACCAGATACAAGACCATGCACAAGACCAGATACAAGACCATGCACAAGACCAGACACAAGACCAT